AAAAAGGTCCAAAAGGTGGGTTTTGAAGAAATAAAAAAAAATTTTTTTTTTTTTTTTTTTTTTTTTTTTTTCAAAAAAGCTGAAGAGACCATGTATCTCTGAACATTTTAGTAAAATTTATTTCCCTTTGGCTATTTTACTTGTCATTCACTAATTGTGGTCGTACTTGGAAGTGTACGATTCCAAGCTGGAAAAATCAAATGGATGACGGCTGATGTTGGAAAGCAGACTTGGAAATGGCCCTGGGTTTGCTTGGTAACTGAGCACATCAGCTGCCATCGCCAACAGGTTGTCTGACCACCAACTAAATGTTGAAAGGAGAGAGTTCCCAAATCCAAGATCTGACTCTGAAAGTCAAACACAGCATTTTACCATCTTGACTTGCTTTTCCTATAAAGTTTCTTTTCCTTGAACATTAGATAAGGTATTTAAAACTTTCACTTATTCACAAAAACTTGGATTTGAGTCTTGCACAATGTTTGTTCTCAATTCCCTTTGTATATTCACTTTAAGGAGTTATATTCATGTTTGTTTAGTCAGTAAGATGCATTTTGATGACTACTAGTATGATTAATATTGATTCTAATTTTGTATTTCCAATATGATCATGATATGGGGATTTCTAACTATTTGTTTTATGACACAGGAATGTCATTCATTTCTATAAAAAAAATTGCTTACAAACTGAACATAGCTTAAAAGCATTGTCTCATGTCTTTTTCTATTCATTTTCTCTTTAGCATGGATGTGCAAGGAGACTACGACCCTTGTGACGCCTCTGGATTCATAAGGATTAATGCTGTCAGGTTAGTACTTCTTGAAACCAAAACTACTTGCAATACAGGTGAAAAAAGTTTTACAAATTCAATTAAAAGTTGGTATTCTCTCTTCCTTCATAGGCTAAGAGAGCATCATCGTTTGCAGGGATCCTCTGGCAACAAACAGTAACTGTTGCCGTCCCGTGAACCATCTTCCTTCCTTCTTCCATGTTGCCACTGTGTCTTAAACTCTTAATAGGTTTAGACTTTGTTCCTCCGTTGTCGGCCTCTTGCCTTATTATCTTGTGTAGTGGTATCAGCCAGTAAGCACAATAGCCTCTTATCGTCGAAGCTTTTTCTCAGGTGGTCAAGTGTTTAGAAAAACCTGTCTGAATTAGATCAAAAATATATTCTAATGCGTGCTAAACATGACGTTTGATAAAATTCTTAGTATTTTAGCTACCGAGTTTGTTTCCTTCTTCTTAATACTTGCGTTTCTGGTCAGAGGTTTAGCTTTGTAACTAAAACCATTAGCATAACTATCAAAACAGTTTTGATTGGTAATTTGAGCTGTTCTGTGAAGTAATAATAAAATACATGGCTTTAATCGTTTGAGCAGCAAGATTCAAGTTTGTATATGTTGTTTTTCTGCATTCAATTAGATGCACCTAAAAAGAATTGGTTATTTTGTCCCCTTCATAGTTGCAGGCAAACAATGTAATTTTTTATCACTCTTCTCGTCAGCAATACTGGAACTCATTTAACTTGCTTGGTTTTCTGGCAAATGCTATATTAGTCTACTTTATCCATTATAAACAATGATTTGTGCTATTTATGGTTTTATTGTTCTGTCAACTTTTCTATCTTCATATTACATTCCCTTTGCCTCTACAACAACCCCTCATCATGATGCTGCTACTTGTCAGCTAGTGCTCTAACCACAACTCCTTCAAACTGAATTCAAGTTAATGTGGCCAAATTTATGACAAACTGAAATGTTAATGGATCTTACATGCTACCTACAAACAAGGAAGTAGTTTTATTTTGTCTGAAGATGAATGTTTTGGACATTTGGTTGGAATTGAACCTAAGAATCACTGAAACTTCATGTTGCATGATGATTCCACCGGATAAAAAGAAAAGCTCACATTCATCTCTGAGAGCATATCCTGACTACATGTAAACCTTTAATTTCTAACAGTCAAATCTACAGAAATTTATACATTTATATACACTGTTTTTTTGTTTTTTTTCCCAAGTGTATCAGTCACTGAAAGTACGAAGGTGTGAAACAGTCGTCCTCTTATTGCCGCCTGCCTGTTTAACTGTTGTGCTCAATAACCTCGGAGACGCTGCATCATCTTAACGACATGCAGATGGAGGCCGGCACAGGCTGATGGATCACTGATGATGACCACTGGAGCAGAAGTGATGAGGCTGTTTCTGAGCACAAACGGCTCAAGTCAAACGGAAGGGGAACCAATTGGGTCACATATGTATATTTTACTGCTCAGCGTCGGGTCCTACATTTACAGAGTAGAGGAACGCCTCTGAGTGCTCATATGCACAGTATGGGAAGGCTGTGTGTTCATGTTTTTCGAGGGATTACAATGCCTTGCAAAAGCCACAATATTACCAGACGACAATATTTTATAGGAATTTCATATGGTTGATTAGCACAAAGTATATGTAATAGTAATTTACTGATTGGTTTGAAACATTTTTTAGAAATAAAAACATGAAAAGTGTAGCGTGCATTCAGCTAACTTTATCATGATGGCCTAAATAAGATCCTATATGAGTACATTCAATTCAGAACAAATACTGCTTATTGAACATTTAACCAAAAAAGCCACTGTTACTCTCTTAGAGTTACCATGGTAACTCTAAAGAAGCAGCAGAGATTCGTAATTCAGGTGGGGAACCTGTCAGCAAGACAACTATTTGTTGTGTTTCCCTGAAACAAAGGACCAACAAAAAAAAAAAAAAAAAAACTACGACTGAAAGAAATCCCCTGTGTGCGATTTGCCACAAACTGTGATGGGGACACAGAGCAAGCACAATTAATACATGAACATACTTTTAATTGTGCTTCATCCTGTAGCATTACTTCGTTTTAGTAGCAACAGGGAAGCTGATCACAGCTGATGTGAGCTGAGTTGAGATAAACTCTGGAGCAAATCCTGTTTGAGAATGCAAGACTTCAGACTCATGTGGAGGTTTTCCCTCTGGCAGGACAGTGACTCTAAACGCTCAGCCAGAGCCACACTGTGATGGGGTAAAATCACAGCAAATTCACATGTTGGAATGACCTAGTCAAAGTTGAGGCCTAAATCCAACTTAGAATCTGCGTCAAGACTGACTGAGTGCTGAAATTGACATTTTAAATGTGTCAAGTTTGTGTGGCACACAAAGACATCTCTATGTAATTCAATGCATCAAAGCATGGTACAAAAGAAGACAACTGTGTGCGCGCTCATTTCAGAATGTTTCACGTTTACAGAACCAAATTCTTAAATATGTCCAATCTGAATTAGGTGAAATACTTGTGGGTAATTCCATCTTTGACTATTTCAAAACAAGATCAAATAGATGCATGTTTCTTTCTATTCATAATTTTGGTAAATCTGTCCAGCCTTCTTTCTGCCTTCTGCTCTGATAGCCGTAATAATGACTTAGCTTGTCTTATGCTCCGTGATATTTGAACCCTCACAGCTGCCTCACTGCCACACCCTCATCCCTGCCACTGAAAGGTGTCAGTCCTGCGCTGAAGCGCCTGATACGCCGTGGGCCTCATGATAAAGTTCACAAGCACACGGGACCCCCTGCCAGGTCTAATGGGCAGTGGGGAACCCTCAGACCCTTTCAGTCCTGCAATGCCCCCTCAACCCCTGTTCAATTACACGGCAGGCGTCTCAGTCTTTGCCTGGTCAATTACCAGCCAAGCCCCTGCATTTACTGTCACGCATGCACTGGCTTTGGGATAATCAGTGTCCAAAATTGCTTGGCTGGAATTGAGGGATGGATGGAGACGTATTCAGATGAGCTACTCAAGCAAAAGGGAAGGAAGGTGGGACATGAACAGAGGCTCAGCATATTTGGTCTGGCATCCTGCTATTTGTGACCTTTTAACTTTTTTTTCTGGTCATCCATTGGAATTTTTTTGGACTAATACAACAGCAGCTATATATATATTTTACAAAAACAGAGTCAAGAAAAATGTCTCTAGAAAATGGATTTTCTGTGTTAATTTGTAGTAAGATTTGGCTATTTCACACATATTGTGATTTTTTTTTTGTATTTATTATATCTCTTTGTAGTTTTTACTAATTTTTTGTTCATATTACAATAATTTTTGTCAGTACAAACTGTTTCACAGCTATCGCAGTTCAACTTTCTTGGTTTTATTAATAGAATTTTGTAGCTCTGGTACTTAAAAAAATGAAATAGATAAACTTTTGATATATTTTTTGACTTATTGCTTTGCCAACAAAATAGTTTGTTGCAAACAAACTATTATAATAATCAAGGTTAACCAAATTTCAGGTCAACTGGAAACCTGAAAATTCACGGGAGAACTGTGTATTAATGCAGTACTGAGTTTATTAATTTACAAAATGTTATTTTTTTGTGTCTAAGACCTCTACCCCCTGTCATTTTCGTGCATGTGTTCCTTGCTACACGTCCACTTTCTTACTCATTTACCACATCTCATATTCCACCTCCTACCTGCTATTCAGCCAGCCAGGTATGAAAACTGCTCGACACCTGACCGCGGGAATTAATCATCCTTGACCCCAGACCAATTACCCCTCATTACCCACTCGGTGTCCACCTCTCAGGGGAAAGCTGTACAACAATAGCGCGACATGAAAGTCGGCAGCAATACAGGCCAGAGCCCTAATGGACACTCCTGTGCAACCTCCTTAGGAGGCTAACCTTCAAGTCCTTGTCACTCTTCCAACAGTGCTCCCACAAAGGAGGTTTTTGTTCAGGATCAGGGTCCGTGACCTCCTGAAATGAAGTGCACAGGGCAGGGCCGCTGGCAATGAGAGGGAACCTAGAAATCATTGACTCAGATTTTTGTGATGCTAAAAGTTGTAAAATGTGTATGCCGTTTCTTCCATGCATATGAATTGAATAATTGAGGCAAACTTTTGACATTACAGTTCACCAGTAAATACTAAAAATCCACCCAGGAATAACAAATCTTTTCCTATTTGCCTAAAAGTTAAACGCAAACAATTTAGACATAGGTAGTTTATGATATATCATCATGTTTCTTCATGACTGAGACATATTGAAGGCTAGCAGGCAGTGCATTCAGCCTATAAAACATTCAGTCAGTGAAAAATGTTAGAGTCCAACTTGCAAAAACTGGGTGACCATAGCAGTGAATGACGTCCAAACAGGCGGTACACAGGAAAAAAATGAAATGACAGTTATGACACTGGGAATAAACAGATGACGAAGCTGTATAGTTATAGGATTTGACAATAACCTGAAGCCGATAGGGAGAATACATACTGAGGAGGGTGATAACTGGCATAGCAACCAGGTGAAACCCTCTTGAAAATGAATAAAAAACAATAATTTTTCTAAGTAATTTTAACCTAGGAGCCAATTTCCTTAATTCACTCATTGAGTCAAGATACAGACATAAATGTAATATTGTGAGAAAACTTATATTTGATCTGCTGGAGTAACATTTTCCTGGCATTGAGATAAGAACATTCTAATAGTTTTTTTTCTTAACATTCATCTGTAAACAACATCTGCCTGAATATAAACTTTTTCATAACTTCTACAGTTTTTCTGTTTTTACAGTGGATAAAGATAACAGGATCATCTGATAATATGATATTACAAGGTCTCTACACAGAAGGTGAATTATATTTGTACACAGTGAAAGAAACCATTTTAGATAAAAAAAAAAGTAAATTTTTACAGTTTGGAAAAGAGAAAAGAATATATGTATAATTTTTAAACATTGACACATTTGGCAAAAAAACAAAACACAGCTAAAGTTTTAGACTGTTAGCAGTTTGACCAGGAATACGCCTCTAAAACGTTTCACATTAAGCAAGCGAGTAGTCCATAGTTACAACTTATGGAAATTACTTTGAACCTAGCAGAGCCTAGCAGAGAAACAAAATATAATATAATGCTGAGATTAGACCTACAACTGGAAGCCTACATGTTTTGAGACTTGGCTGTCTTTCCATAGAACAACACTGACTTATTTGTTGGCTAACAAAAGAAACAACCAACTAAACAAAGCCTACAGGAATGTCTGCTGTCTTCAACCCATCAGGATATTTTGTGGTCATCCAATCTGTGCTCTTCATCTCCCAGTTAGAGTAGAAAAGTATCACATGTTCTGTGACCTTTACTCTTAAAACACAATGAGAGACGGAACAATGACCATACAGAGTTAATTACAACCAATTAGATGCCAAAGTGGTTCCCCATCCCCATGGTTGCTGTGTAACCTAAGCTCTCCACAAGAGCAAAAAATACATGCAATATAAATGTGCAACAATCTTCTGCATTTATGTCCTCCCTAGATTTTAGTTTAATCCAACCTCTGGAGGTTTATATGGTCCCTCTTATTCCCTTTGCACAGTTTACCTGTTTGTATTTAGTTATATCTGAATAAACTGCCAGTTGTGTTTCCACATTTCACTTAATGCTGCTTTACTTAGCAGGTATAAGGGGTTAATGGGCAGATCTCTGGAGGTTAGTGCAGAAAGCTAATGGGCCTGGTGAAGATGATGAGGTCACTCCCTTATTTCTAACAAACAAAGAGCGATTTATAGGCCAGGATGCTAATCCTGCCGGCTTGCTGTTCAATCAAATATTTATAATTGCACATTTTATTTTCATCCGTAGCATCAGATGGATCAGGATATATTGTAATAATTGATGATAAGTGCTTCAATTTACAATAATGGTGTTTTACGCAACCTTCTCTTAGCATGATAGCCGAGTCTGGCTGAACACTGGTTGCGTAAGGAGAAGCATTTGTTGTATTAATTTGTGAATCAGTTCTATTTCTTGTGTCCCACGGCTTAAACGCCACTCATGCTCTGACAGAGCTGGTCTGTCCTAATAGCTCAGATGTGTGCTTCATTCATACTCCTGAAACTTGATCTCCTGCTGCAACATCAAGAGACCATCTGTGAGGAACCATCAGATTAAAGCAGGATACTCTTTGCCTTCCAGGCTCGCCAACACCCGTGATTCCTGTCTGTGTGTGTGTGCGTGTGTGTGTGTGTGCATGTGCATGTGTGTGTGTGCGCTTCTACCTTGATGTCGAAGCTTATTTTCTGGTGTCAAAGGACACCCATACAGTGATGTCCTGACAATCTATAGACAGATGGGACCATTACGGTCAAAGCCCCTGGCTTTGTTTGTCCTGAGCTGGTGATGAAATATTGATAGAAAAATAGAAATATTTTGCCTGCTGCTTAGTCTCGGCCACCTAAAAGGGTCAATGAGCAAGAGGACTTCTCCGTCTCCTGTTACAACAAAATGAAGCTCAACTACCAGCTAACATCGACTAGTCTGGAGTCTGCAGCCTCTCCTGGGGTGACAAGAATCGATTGAGTTTCCCCGAGACTTAAAGAGGGGAATTTATTTTAATGTTGTGCTTTAACATTGTTCACCTTCCATATCTGACAGACATACCGGTTAAACCTTTTGAAATCTGCGTATTTTTTGTTCATCAGGGATTTAGACAAGTAATCAAAACTCTGACTGTCTAAATGAGTCGTAAAATCAGCTACATCTGTGTCAGAGTTTAGTTCATATCTTTTTATTCTTAATCTTAAATAGGTTGCAAAGGGAATTTTTATTTGTTTTAGCTTAAATACCTGCTTAAATACTGGAGCGAGGTGCTTCGGAAAGTAATTAATGCTCCTTGAATGTTTTCACATTTTGTCACAAATCAGCCACAACTTTTAATACATTTTGTTGAAAGTGTTTTCTAGTAGGCCTAGTCAAAGTAGTGAATTAATGTCAAGTAGAAAGAGCATATCTGTTTTTCAAAGATTTTATTTTTTACAAATAAGATCCTGAAAGAAAATCCAATTGTTTTAACCCCTATTTCACTGACTGCTTTCAGAAATCCCCCAAATAAGTAAATTAATACACACCACATTTTTCAGATTTTCAGAATATTTTTAAACTAGTAATACATTTGAGAGATCCTACATGATTGATGTCCATAATTGCGAGTGAACAGAAAATTATAATTGGTATTTCAAATGTATTACTTTGAGAGTTTTGGAGTTAAAGGAGCAGACTTCAAATCCACAACAGACTTTTTAGATCTTCATTTGAAAACAATTTTTTTTTTTGACAAAAATTTATCATTTCCCATCCTACTTCGTTGTACATAAATAGTCATAAATTACATTACGGTTTTGATGTAGTGAGTTTCAAATACTTGTAGCACCAAGAAAATTAAGCAAATTAAATCCTCTGAAAATTGAAATTTTCTCTCAGAAAACAAATCTAGAAGTTTCCTGCCACTACTACACAGTACATCAAAATGAAAATTGAAAATGTTTTTGTAGGAAACAAATCTTGTAGTTTCTCGAATGCAACTATCATTATTATCACTAATTTATTTTTACCATTTCCACATCAAAGCAGAAAATGCCCCTCACATTACTGTTTTTTCTATTTCCCCCGAGTGAACACCAACACAGCGTGTAGATCTTAAATCAATAGATTTATCTCCTTGCGGCTCCCCCATTCCCCTTCCTCTCCTGGGGGTGCGCTGGTGGGGTTTGTTTGCGAGAACACACTTTTTATGTTCTTCGATCTGTAGTGAAAGGCTTCGAGTCTCTACGCCGGCAGCTTCATCTGCTCCAGTCTCGGCGAGCCCGACAGATGATGTAAATGTTTAATGGCCCTGGTTATTTGGTCATAATGGTGTGTGTTATGATGGATGGTAATGCAATGTCTTCTGATGGCAGCTGAATTACACCACAGGGTATAGAGGCTGTTTTGGTTGGGTGTTTAACTGGCTTTCATAACTGAGCCTGGTAAATATTGTCTGAAATACATATAAAAGGGAGACATGTTTGTTATTTCTGTTTGGTCATTGTTGAAATGAGTTATATTCTTTTGCTTCTCCTGAATATTCCAAATTCACTTCGATTCAATCCTTTCACTTATCTTTGACTTTAAGCTTTTCTTCACATGCATTTAGTTCAAATTAAAAGGTTGAGTAAAACATGCTGTCCATGGGAAGAGTTTGACATTTCATTTGACATTTCAATGCAGAAATTTTTAGAACCACTTCAATCCTTAATGTCCAACAGTGGGGAAATGGAGGGGTACCCACAGCAAGATAAATGGAAGTGGAAGGATGAACAGTCACACACTGGTAAAGGATATAAAAATGAGAACAATGAGCACAGAAAGGACAATTTTATAGCAAAAGAAAAATAACAATTGTTAAAAGTGGCATACTTCAATTTTTACTTTTTTAAAATGTGCAATTGCGTAAGGTAATTTAAAGAAAACAAATGTGCAAAATGTGCATCTATATATTTGCTTAACAACCAACTTTTCAAAAACAAAGCAAAAAAAAAGCAAACAACTTAGATGTGGAGAAAAACTCTCCATAACAGCAGCGATGTACGCACTGAATTTGCTGGGAACAGTGATAATCACAAGGTCTAACAGCTGCTGGGAGGAAGGATCTGCAGTAATGCTCCTTTGTGCACCTATGCAGAAGTCTATCACTGACGGAGCTCTCCAGTTCAGCAACAGCCTCATGCATGGTGGGAGACAATGTCCAACATCGATGTCTGTCTCCTAAAAGCAGAAAGTCTACAGCTACTAATCTTTTACAAAAAACTACAGATTCACATGTACATCCAAAAAAGATGAAGGAAGGCAGACAACAAAGCTCAGTTTCTACTTATTTGGAAATGTTTTACTACGATTCTGTTATTTTTAGATGTTTATGCAGGAAACGCTGATTTACGGAAAGTTCTCCATATTTTTCTTCCAGTCACAGAAATGCTCTACTAGTGTGACTTGATAACCTGAGAATTCATTTTTTACACTTTTTTAAACACTCCTTTCTGCATTTGTATTTTGGAGTTAGTAAAGTTTGAGCTCAGCTTCCAGAAACATGAATTTAATACTCTACAGATCAATCCATTGCAGCTATTTGAACATTATAAAGTTTATAGTAAAATCAGTGATTGATTTGTGTCCAGTCCCTGAGACGTAAATGCAATCCCCACCACCATGCAACAAAACTGAGTTGTTGATATTTTGAAATGTAAGATATAAAAAAAAGCCTTCAATATTTCATAAAGACATAATGTATGCAATTTAGAGTTTTTGACAAATTGAATTTACCATTCAGTCTGATAGATTTTAGTATGTGTGAGAGTGATTGTCAAAATTATACATTTCATTAAATGTCCATGTTTGTATGCTTTAGTGAGGCTTTATCCTTTATCCTATCCATTTGGACTTCAGAAAATGATCTCGGTTTCTGAAAACAAAAGAAAAAAAAAAGTCTTTTACTCGAGCATTGAGTTGGTGGATCTAAATCAGACAGCAGCTTTAGCCAACATTTCATACTTTCTTACATTTTTTATACTCAATCAACAGAAAGCTTATTTGGGACACAACTGCCAGATGAAAAAAAAAAAAGAAAGAAAAATTGCGCCAAGACTGTGCTGCCCTGAGAAATGCAACATGTTGCCCATTTCACAAACTTCTGCTGGTGAGTGGAGGTGGTTGCTTAGGTCACTCCTGCTTTTATTTCCTGCACATCCAATCAGTTTTTTTTTTAAACGACATACGATGTTAAATGCAGCTCATCAATAAACACAGACACTTGGGGATATTCATTTGTAGCACAAATACTGCAATTCCAGTTAGTTTGATTTCCATGTGTACAGTGTGGGTTTAGATTACTAACAGTTTTACTAACAGTTTCACACTTATGTGCACAACAATACGAATGGCTTCATGTGTTTCATGGTTAAAGCTTATCCAGCCACTTTTCAACTCAATGAGTTTGAGTGACACAACTTGGCAGAGGGTTTCATCTTCAACACCAATGGAGAGGATGAAAGCTTAGTTCTTTTAAAATGCCTCGGGACAAAGCAAGCTGTGGGATTAAAGTGCCGAAAGGAATCACGTATCTGCTTCGGTTTGGATTAATTAAAAAAAAAAAAAAAAAAAAAGCCCCCCGGGGGACTTCTGCCTGCTGATGTGCTTTTATCACTGTCATGCCTGCCGTTTGCATCTGAGCAGTATCTCGTCTCAGATTTAAAGAAACTCTTTGCGCCAGCTTGTTTTTTTGTGGTGACAGCAGAAGAATTACCTGTAAAGCGCCTTTTTTTTTTTTTTGTCAGCTCACTGTGCAGAGAGCTCACAAACAAGACCATTTAGCTATTATTTCCTGTCCGTCTCCGATACACCCAGCAAAGCGGATGTTTATCAAGAAAAACTGGCGACTGTGGGAGTGGAACATAATAGGACAGGTGGAGAGAGTGGCAAGGAGAGAGGGATGGAGAATGGGAGGGGGGTTACTGGAGCCATGGAAAGGGTCTTGGTGTCCCAGTGGAGAGAAATAGTGGAAACCACCCGTAATTTTCTCTGCGGGATCCCATGTAATTGAGTCATTTAAAATACAGATACAGCGCTGAATCAAAGCAAAGTGGCCCGTGGTGGTGGGAGAGGAGGAGGTGGCAAAGTAAAATGGAAAAAAAAAAAGAGGTGAAAACAAGGAAGTAGAAGTGTGCCTCTTCTACTATTGAGCAAAGCCAGTCTGTTTATCGTTTTCATCTTCAGGATGATACCTGTCATAGATTGTGTTTTGGCTGCTGGTTATGTTGTTGCTTTTCCAACCATCGTAATGATGCTGATTTATATTCATACGTTAAATTCATGCGAAATGCAACGCATGAATTTAAATTTTATGCGTTAAATTTCACATGAAATTTAAATTCATGCAAATTTCATGAAGAGACAATGTTTTATAATAATCTTTCCAGTTTTGAAAGTTTTGCAAAAACATTGGAAGGCAGTGATAGTCTGGTCATTAATGCCAGTGAAATATAAACAGTGGTTTGGCAGTCGTCTAAGAGTAAGAAAATCTGAGAAAGCTTTTTAAATTTGCAGTATAGTGAATCTGTTGAAAGCTATTGCCGTTTTATCTAAACTAGTCCTTTATAACTAAGATTTTACATTTAGGAAAAGGGTAAACCTCAACCTCTCATATTGTGTGTTCAGGGTAATGTGCAGTTTTAGCTTTACCACCACAAATAGTATTTTTTTTTCATGTAGGAATAAACTCTCAATTTTGGTCACATTGGACAAGAGGACTTTCTTTCATGTTTGCTGTGTCTTTCTTTTTTATTTTATCTTTTCACATTTCTAAAATGTTCAGAGCTGTAGGGTACGCTGGAAAGCTGAATAAAACACAATGAAGTTATATGTGTGTCTCAACAAAATGGAAAAAATGTGTAAAGACTTTTGCATTTCTCTGCAAGTTCTTTTGAAATAGGTTTAGATAGAGTTCACATGAATTAATTTTTCTGCCTGTTATAAGTCTAAACTTACTTGTTAAGCTATTTGTTTACAATCGTTTAGGGGTAGGAGTTTATAAGTTCTCACTTCTTCCTACCCCATTTTGAGCATGATATGTT